GGCTGGAACTCCATCCAGGTCTCTGAGGTAGGTGGTAGGGACCAGAGCATCGGAGCCTCCCAGGATGAGGTCAGCAGGAAGCTGGATTAGAAGTCGATGAGCCAGCACCTGAAGTTAGGCACTGCAGGTATCCCAAGCAGTGACTCAACCACTGCACTAAATAACCATTCCTCAATTACTAATTGGAATTACTAAATTACAATTAGAGTTACTAATTACTAATTCCAAAACTTCCCACAAAGAAGAATACAACTAGATGGCTTCCCTAGTGACTTCTACTAAAGATTTTCAAAAGAATGAAAATTAGTCCTTTACAAATGCTTCCAAAAAATACAAAAAGAATGAATCACTTTCTAATTCTATGAAACCAGCGTCACTCTGATACCAGAAACCAAAGAACACCCTAGACAAGTATCACCTGTCAATATAGATGCAAATTTTCTTAATAATATCTATTTAACTGAATCCAGGAATATATATGATGAACTATCTACCATGACCAATTGAGATTTACCTCCGTATGCAAAGTTGTCTCAACATTCAAAAATACATCAATATAATTCATATTATTAACAGAGTAAAGTTCAAATCTACACCAACTTCTAAAAAGATGCAGACAATAAATGCATTTAACAAGGTCAACAGCCTTTCAAAACAAAACCTCTCAACAAACTAAAAGAAAATCTGCATAACCTGATGAAGTGTGTCAAAGAAAAAAAACCTAATATCATTCCTAATAGTAAAAACTTAATATTTCCATTCAATACGGTACAGGAGGTTCTAGGCAAGGCAATTAGACAAGAAAAATAAAGGGCTTCTATATTTAAGGGCAGAAGCAAAATTACATGGCCTTATAAATAGATAATCATAAAGAATCCACAAATAAACTATAAAAAGCTAATAGATTCAACAAGGTTATAGAATATGAGCTAAAATACAGAAACACATTGTTTTCCTATATACTAGCAATAAGCATTCCAAAAAGGAAACTGAACACACATTCTTCAAAAAGAATTAAATCTTTTGAAAAAATACAAAAAGAAAACAAGACATGTACACAATAAACCACAAAATTCTGCTAAAAAAAATGAAAGACCTCAACAGATTAAAACACAACTCATGGTCATTGATTAGAAAACTGAACATTGTCAAAGTGACAACACTCCCCAAGTTCATCTTCAAATCCAATCAAACTTTTACAAAAATTCCAGATGCTACCCTCACCATTTTTTTGACAGAAACTGAAAAACTAATGTTATAGTTCATATAGAAATGCAAGAGACCCAAAATAGCCAAAACCTCCTTTAAAAAGAAGTAGGTGCTACACCAGCAAACCACTTCAGAGTATAGCTGAGGTCCCTGTTGCATCACTTCCAACCCAGCTCCCTAATGGTCCTGGGAAAGCGTAGAATGGCCCAAGTGCTCAGGTTCCTGACTTTGACAAGTGAATGAACAAGTGGATGAAACATCTCGCTCTGTCTCTTCTTCCCTCTGTCTGAATGAAAATAAATTAAAATTAAAATTAAAATTAAAATTAAAATAAAATAAATACATACATTTTTTAAAGATAAAGAAGAGGGGTCGGCATGTTGGTTCAACTGGCTAGCCCTCCACCTCCGAGTGCCAGGATCCCATGTGGACTCCGGTTCCTATCCTGGCTGCTCTAATTCCCATCCAGCTCCTTCCCTGTGGCCTAACAGAGCAGCGGAGGATAACCCCAAAGCCTTACCCATAGGGGAGACCTATAAGAAGCTCCTGACTCCTGGTTTCAGATTGGATCAGCTCCAGCCATTGCAGTCTTTTGGGAACTTAGCCAGATAATAATGGAAGATCTTTTTCTTTATGTTTATCTGCCTTTCAAATGAAAATAAAATTTTTAAATCTTTTTTTAAAGGGGGGTCCGGCGCAGTGGCCTAGCAGCTAAAGTCCTCACCTTGAACGCACCGGGATCCCATATGGGCGCTGGTTCTAATTCCAGCTGCCCCGCTTTCCATCCAGCTCTCCACTTGTGGCCTGGGAAAGTAGTCGAGGAAGGCCCAGAGCCTTAGGACTCTGCACCCACATTGGAGACCTGGAGAAAGTTCCTGGCTCCTGGCTTCAGATCGGCACAGAACCAGCCACGGCAGTCACTTAGGGAGTGAATGATCGGATTCTGTCCTCCTCTCTGTATATCTGACTTTACATTAAAAATAAAGAAATCTTTAAAAGAAATCTTTACAAAAATAATAAAAAAGATAAAAAACAAAAGTTGGTACTTGGCAGACCCAATTTCAAAATTTCTATACAACTATAATAATCCAGACTGTGAAGTATTGGCCTACAGACAGTGTACTTACATATATGGACAGAAAATGTCACATAATTTTCTGCAAACATGGCAATACAAATCAATAAAGACTAGTCTTTGGATATGTGGTAATTAGACACCTGACTATTCACAAATGAGAAATAATAAAACTGGATTCCTTTTGTAGACCATAAACAAAAATTTATTCCAAATATATCATAACTCCAAGAGCTAAAATCATAAACTACTGGGGGAAAATAAGTATAAATTCTTGTAACTTTGGACCAAGCATGAATTTTTTCCTATGATGCCAAAAGCAGAAACATTCAAAGAAAAAAGACAGGTGTAAGATATAATCAATTGCAAAACTCTAGTATCTGAAATACTACAAAAAGACTTCTAAAACAGAATTAAGGTATAATCTTATTTTGATTTAAAATTTTTTTAAATCCATAAACAAGAAGGATCTTTAAAATCTTACATAAAATTAATATTTATTAAAAACTAGGCATAGATTTCAAAAATATTTGCACTAAATAATCATCTTAAAATTCCATTTTCCCTTCAAATTTTTAAAACTATATTTGTATATAAAGAAGTCTTATGACTCAAAATTAAAAAGATAATAAAATGGATATGAACAGACATAGGATTTTTTTAATATGGACTCAAAGCTCAGTGAAGAGCATGTCTGAACAAGCCAGGCAAGCTTCTTAGTAAAGAAGCGAGGGTCCCATCTGCATTCAGACTGGAGTGTGTACTGATTTGGATAATGTGCCCGCTGCCCTCTTCCAAGGATATTAATAGAGACGTTTCTCTAAAGAAGACATACAAATGGAACAGTAAGCATACGGGAACACACTCAACATAACGAATCATTAGAGGCAGGTAGATCAAAGCCACAGTACGGCACTATTTAACATCCACTGGGGTGGTTATAATCGGGAGATGGATAGTAACAAGTGTTAGTGTGGATTTGGAGAAATCAAAACCCTCCATACATTGCTGGTGAGAATGCAGAATGTTATAACTACTGTGGAAATTCCTCAAAATGTCACATGGGTATACCATATAGCCCAATGATTCCACTCACTGGTGTATGCCCGGGGGTGGGGCGAGTGCAATATATATGTACATGCACAATCTTGAATACAGATGTCCATAGCAGCATTATTCATAACAAACAAAAATAGGAACAATTCAAACATTAATCCTCTTAAGAACAGCTAAAAACTGTGGTATGTCTACATAATAATAATAATAATAATAATATTTTTAACCAAAAAGAAACTGCAATATCAATTCTTACTGAAGCATAGATTAAAATCTTAAACATTTTATTTAGTATGATTCCATGCATAGGAATCATATGTATGATTCCACATATAAGAAATGCCAAAAATGGGCATTTCTGTAGAAACAGTAAACCAGTGTTTTCCAAAGGACAAAAGAAAATAGCCACTGCTAACTGGCATGAGGCTTATTTGGGGGTGATAAAAATGGTCTGCCATTATACCCAACAAATAAGATATTTTATAATTTTCTGGAATCAGTGGGGTACACAAATTCATGAGGCTATTAAAACTCACTGACTTGCATCTTTTAAGCAGCACATTTTACGATATGTGAATTATATGTCCAAAAATATTTAAAAAGAAAAGGGAATCTTCTGATTCTGACACCCCAGTTTTCCTCCATGGGGACAACTGTTACTTATTTCTTAAGTACCATTCATGAAAGTGCACAAATACAAATTCATATGGATTTCCAAAAAAGTTGTTAAAGAAATATGAGCATAGCAGAACGTTGTTTTGGATTTTTTTCTCTCTTTACAATATATCTTAAATATCATTCCTCTTTATCATATAACTTGGAGATTATTCCATTTTCACATTTATAAGTATTCTTTTTAATGTTGGATAGGCTATTTAATTGCCTAGTCTTTTACTAATATGCAAATGAGATACTGTTAACTTTCAGAATTAAAATGTGTTTTCTTGTTTTATTTTGATAAACTGTTATTATTACTATACAGTCTCTCTTTCTTATTAGATTGAGTTAGTTGAGAACAGGGTCTGTGTCTTCCGTCCTTTGAACCAGAGTATATCTAGATTCTAGCATATTTCCTGACATACTGCTTCCTATATGGGTAGATTGACAAGCCTGTGTATTTTGTTGCACAAAGTATTAAATAGAAATTGGAAGCTATCATTTAATGAACCGTGATGCAGTTTAGATGGCTAGGAATTGCCTGGATATTTCTGTTTGCCTGTTTTAGTTTGTATCCAGTTATTTGTTTCCTATTCTTTTCTAACGCCACGATTTTTTTCAAAAACTGTCAAATAAATCGCAAGGTATGACTCTAAGATATAATCCTAAATTTCAACTGACCAACTCAGTAAGTTTTATGAAATACAGGCATCTGTCTTATACTTCAGTACTGGGTATTTCAATTTTTTAAAAGGGGTAAGATGGAGTGAATTCCAACTTTAAGAGACCTAATAGCGACACCTGCTGGAAATAGTATCAAAATAAATTTAAACCATTAAACCTTAGAAATTTTAGACTAGTTTTATGTCTAGGAATGCATGTGTTATTTTACCACTGAAATGGCTATAATAAGTAAATACGTATATGTATGTATATATTTAAGAGAAGTTTTTTGATATTCTACCAAAGTACAGGTAAAACAATGTTGTTGTTTTTATTCCAGGATAAAGTCATTTTGGGAACAGATTACCCCTTTCCACTAGGTGAGCTGGAACCTGGGAAGCTGATCGAGTCTATGGAAGAATTTGATGAAGAAACAAAGGTACATGTCTTTACTTCATGCTCTCCTTCCTGAGTTTTCCTGCTCTCATTAATGCTGGTTCCTGAACATTTAGACATACGGTACCAAAACACAGAGGGACCATTACATTAATAGCCCACAACCATTATCCTGTCTCCAGAAATAGCTAAGCTACTTCAAGGCATGGGGACATTAAAAACTGAAACACAGCACATCTAAGTTCTAGATGCCAAGGAACAAAACCATAGGGAAACATATCATAATAACATGCTTTGCATGTTAACTCAGAAGAGTGCCTGATGTTTCCTATAACAGTTTTGTTACAAACCACTCTCTCATGATTCTAGCTATGTGGATATTGATAATAAAGTCTCAGTGACAAGGATCTAAGGAATCACAATACCCAAGTTGCTCAATGTGTGTGTACATATGCGTTTGACTTTAAAAGTGGGTAAAACACTGTGTCACATAATGCAATACAATTAATTTTAAAAAAAAGTGGGTAAAACGTACTAAAAGGTGCTGTAATGCTACTGATACTTATTCCATAGACTCCTGAACTGCGATGAATTTAAATGAGACAATTGAATTACCTCCCTCCTGCCATCCCTTCCCCACTCTATTTGTTATGATAGATACATACATACATACATACATACATACAAAGTTTTTTTCTAAGGACTTCACTGCCAATCGCTCCCTCTTTCTAGAAGTCAGAGACATCCAAAAAGGAAACCAAGGGGTTAGACTCTTACTTAATCTTATGAAAGTCTTGGTGATAAATCGTATAATTCCTGCCTTTCTTCTAAACTTAGAATCCAAAAGTTGCCTTGAACCCCCTCTATTACAAATAAAGCTCATCGGCTCCAGCACAGTAGTCTAGTGGGTTAAGTCCTCACCTTGCAAGCCCTGGGATCCCATATAGGTGCCCATTTATGTCCTGACAGCCCTGCTTTCCATCCAGCTCCCTGCTTATGGCCTGGAAAAGCAGTAGATTTTCCCATATTGTTACAACAGTATAGTCCTTCATAAGAAGCTATATTTCCATCAGTCTGTTATTAAAGTGTGTTCCAACAGTGTTATTATTTATAAACAGTGCTTTCAAATTTTATTCCAATATTACAATACATTAACTTGTACAGAATGTTGTTGTGAATTTGTAACAAGATAACATTTTATGTAAATTAAGAAAAACTTGAAAGGGGGAATCACATCAGGAATAATAAAGGCATAGAATAATAATTATTATTCTATTAAAGTCTTACTCAGGAATTTGGGATGCTTTGAGTTCTGTTTAATTTTGGGTAACTATAAGGCAAATTTCCTTCTAACCCTGCTACATGCCCCTCCTTTACACATGGGTTACAATCAACAGGATGTCACAAAGTTGCCACTTAGATCCTTTCTTCCTGCAGAGTGGATACTCTGTATCCGGACAGTGGGTGGAAAAAGACTGGGGAGTTCACATCAAGTCACCAAATGGAGGGAGTTTTACCGCCATGTGAAACCCTTCCTCCGTGGACTTCAGCCCTGAAGAGCTGACCTTGAATTCAGGGCCATCTGAAAGGAACACACACAGACCCTGAAGTTAGGCTTTAGGACCTCTGCGAACTGTTTCCAGTTCTCTTGTCCTACAAGGCCTAAACTGTATCTTTTCTCGGTCTTTACCTCAAATAGTCCTCAGGATCCACTGGAGAGACCACTAAATATTTCCAAAGAAGGCATTTTGCGTAGGAGGGTTCTTCTCCATAAATGACTTTTTCTCTGGGCCAGCACTGGGGCATAGCAGGTTAACAGCAGCTGTTCTGCTTCCAATCCAGCTCCCTGCTAATGTGCCTGGGAAAGCACAGAGGGTGGCCCAAGACCTTGGGCCCCTGCTACCCCCATGGAAGACCTGGAGGGAGTTCCAGGCTCCTGGCTTCTGCCTGGCCCTAGCTGTTGTGGCCCTTTGGGGAATAATCAGTGGGTGGAGTGTCTCAATCAATCTCTCTCTCTCTCTCTCTCTGTCTTTCAAATAAATACATTAAAAAAAAAAAAAAACCCTCTTCTCCTACAATGAAAGTTCAGATTTAGATTTCAAACAGTAAACTAAACAATATCCTAAGAGGATATAGGTAGGAGTTCACTGTATAACCTGTTATATTTTTCTTACATTGGGATGCTGATTTTGAAAACCCTGATAAAAACATTCAATATGGGGCCTGGCGCAGTGGCCTAGCAGCTTAAAAAGTTCCTTGCCTTGAATGTGCTGGGATCCCAAATGGACATCAGTTCTAATCCCATTGCCCTGCTTCCCATCCAGTTCCCTGCCTGTGGCCTGGGAAAGCAGTAGAGGATAGCCCAAAGCCTTGGGATCCTTCACCCACGTGGGAGACCCAGAAGAGGCTCTGGGCTCCTGGCTTTGGATTGGCTCAGCTCCAGCCATTGCAGTCACTTGGGGAATGAATCATGGAATGGAAGATCTTCCTCTCTGGCTCTCCTTCTCTCTGTGTATCTGACTTTGCAAGAAAAAAATAAAAATCTTAAAAAAAAAAAATACTCAATATGGACTTTACAACAACAAGTAGAAACAGGTATTTGGCCTAGCAATTAAGATCCAACTTGGGGGGCTCAGCATGATACCCTAATGACTGAAGTCCTTGCTTTGTACATGCTGGGATCCCACATGGGTGCCAGTTTCTGCCCCAGCAGCTCTGCTTCCCTTCCAGCTCCCTGCCTGTGGCCTGGGAGAACAGCCAAGGATAGCCCAAAGCTTTGAGACCCTGCACCTGCGTGGGAGACCCAGAAGTTCCTGACTCTTGACTCCTGGCTTCAGTTCAGCTCAGCTCCAGCCGCTGCAGCCACTTGGGGAGTGAACCATTGGATGGAAGATCTTCCTCTCTGTCTCGCTGTCTCTCTTCCTCTCTGTATATCTGACTTTGCAATAAAACAATAAATAAATCTTAAAAAAAAAAAAAGATCCCATTTGGGACATTCATATCCACTATTGAAGAACCTGGGTTCAATTCCTGGTTTGGCTCCTCATTCTGGCTTCCTGCTGCTGCTCAGGGGGCAGAGCTGACAACCAGGTGATTTCCGACTTCAGTTGCTGGCCTCGGCATTGTGGTATCAATTAGTGGACAAAAGATTGGGTTTTTTTCTCTCTCTCTTCTGTCGCTGTCCCGCAGCGATGGACTTGGTGCGCAGAGCACGTGTGGACCCTGACTGATGGTCAAAGCCGAAGTTTTTTAGTGGCATCAGACTTCTATACACTGAGGGTCATATGGGTTAAGAGAGGAAGTATTGAGCACAGCAACAGTTTCTATGCTTTTGTTTGGAACGCTTTTTGTCTTGTATATTCCACCAAATGTTCTCATACACATGCTGTCCACTCAACTGTTCTTATACAAATGATATCCCATCAGGTATATAAAAGGTGGCCATTCGGTTGTTCTCATGCAAATACTATCCAATCAACTGTAAGCCTGTGCTCGCTGACCTTCTAGGGTCACATTGTCCTCCTACACTCTTCCTCTCCCCATTTGCGTCTGTATATGATATATATGTGACTCTTCCTGTTTCTAGGCTTCTCATATAAAATTTTAAGGATTTTTAAAATAAATAATGATTTACAATAAGATTTTTTTCTTTTCTTTTTCAGGATAAACTCAAAGCTGACAATGCTTTGACATTCTTGGGTCTTGAGAGAAAACAATTTGAATGACTGGATTCACCCTGACAGCAAACTTACAAGAAGATATTTCACTTTAAACAAAATGTATCAGTTCATGCATTACTAAAACCTGACTTTAAACTACCCCAAAATGGAATATCCATAAATATCCTAAATTATTCATAACAAAAATGATTCTCAGGAGCTTTCATTCTGAAAAGCAAGACATTACTTGATGTGCAAATCAAACATTATTTTCCCAGTGTCTTTTTAATTAATCTAAAAGGGATTGTTTTAATGTCAAGGGCTTACTTAGGTAAAGAACGACAATGGATTGATTTTAAAGGGCTCCTGTTGGTTCTCCAGTTTCATCAAAGACAATAAACTGGCACAAATAATTTGTTTAATTCACTTTTAACATTTTCCATTAGCCAGAGCTGGGATGGGAATAGTTTAGCCTTCATAAACATAAAGGACATTGATATACAATACTCACAACCTCAAGGAACTTACAGCCCAATTAAGCAAATAGCAGAAATACATTGTAGTGAGGAAGGTTAAACTGCCATTTGAGACCCAGTAGCCCACACCGTGTGGGAGGAAACAGATGATGATTCAAACGCTTGAATCACCTGCCACCCTGTGGGAGACCCAGATGGAGTTCCAGGTTTCAGCCTGCCCCAACCCTGGTTATTGTAGGCATCTGGAGAGTGAACCAACAGATGACAAAATCTCTTCCTTTTCTCTCTGCCACACTGTCTTTCAAATAAATATAAATAAATTTTAAAAGACAAGACATGTATTCATAGAATAATTACTAACCAACACAGCATGTGTACTAAAGCAAAATAAGAAGAATTTATTTTGGTCTCAAATTGTTGAGCAGATCTTTAAAGAGAGTTTGAAATTTGGGCTAAATCTAGGAGGTTGAAGGTTTTTGTTATTTTTTGTTTGTTTTGTTTTTGAGAGAGAGATGATAGTTGCAGGATTACAGCTCAGGAAGTAGGAAGGAAAAACTATAGAATAGCTGTAGTTTCACACTCAATGAGACTTACTCATTTTGAAAAAAAAAAGTTGTGGCATATATACTCCATTTTATCAGCTTTTTAAAATTTAATACACTAAGCAGAATGTACAAAGTCAGTTACAGAGAGCAAGTAAAATAAACAAAAAAAGCAGGATGATCGCAACACAACTACAGCAAGAGATCTTGGCCCTGGGACAGGAGACAGACCCGTGGGATTCATGTACATCTGACTGGATTCTAAAATCACATAAGTGCAATTATTTTTACAAACTATCCTTTTATTCTGGTTCTTTGCCCTTCTGGTTTTTTTCCTAGAAAATTAGGAGTTCAGTGTGAATAAGTAATTTGGGCGGGCCCTTTTCCAGAGTTAAGGAGATCTAATCTTACTGAATTTTGTCCATCCCATGCCATTATTTTCACCTTTAATGTGTTGTTAATTGCTCCATCTCTTTCTTGTTCTTCCTAACACTTTCTAGGCTTCTATTTCCCAACTCTGTTTATTGCTCCAACATGCTTTAAAAGAAAAACAAGATTAAGCAAATAATATGAAATGTGTTTTTGTATTTTTCCTTCCCAAATATTTGGGATAAATGTTCACTCCTTTTCAAATATTCATTGTTAGGATAATTTAAACATAGCATTTACTGTTTATCATGAAAGGTAACTTGATGATTTTATCTGATCTCATGCTTAACATCAGGTAAACGGGCATATTCATATACCCATATTCATATTCACAGTGATTTCTCTGTGCCAAGACTGTAGCAACCTTCCAGGCACTGGGGATGTGGAAGTAAAGCAAAAGCGTAAAATTCTTCTCTGAAAAAGTCTACAATCTGGAGGGTGGAAAACATAAGGAAGTATTGAAGAAGGAAAGAAGGAAGCTTTTCTTGTACTGATAAACAGTAATGAAGAAATTAAAACAGGGAAGTGTGATCACTGGGAGGAAAGACGGGAGATAAAATATGAAATTGTAGTGCCAAAGAAAAGGACTTAGAAAGAGGATTTTGGAGTAAGACTTTTGTGACAGAAGGAGATAACCATGGACAAGAACCTTCCAGGAAATGTGCAAAGGCCAAGAGGCAAGAAAGAGCCTTGCAGCTGGAGTTTGTGAGGCTGGGGAAAACAGATGGGAGCTGAAGTCCAAAAGTCAGATGATCACAGTCAACAGGTCAGATTCTTATATATATATATATAAAGTCTTTGAAGATATTTTGGCAGGTCTGTGCTATGTTCTGGCTTATGTAAAAAAACAAAATAGGATATTAAGGAGGTTGAGGATGCAAGTAGAGAGCTAGGCAAGAAATGATGATGACCCGGGTAGGCACGGGATGGGGATACTGAGTTTGCAGACTAAAGCAACAGCACTTACAGATGACTGAATGTAAGGAACAGGGAACAATGGAAGAATGAGTCATGATATGTATGTGTGTCTAATGTATGTAATGGTTTATCCAAGCAAGAATTTAATATTGATTATTCAGATATTTTTTAGTATTTTACAATTAAAGCAATGCTGCAGTAGAATCAAATTCACTTCATTCATAGACTACAACTCTGATTGAATCAAACATTTAACTACAAAACACTGAACTGTAATTCCCATTTAATCTAAATGTAGAAAAGGGTTTTCTGAGTGTGAATTCCCTGAGATATTGCGGCTTCTAGATGGTAAAAAACTCATTCATACCTAGACATAGATACCTTGACAGCCAGATTTTAACTTGTAAAATTAATTTATTTTCATGTTTTTGTTTGAGAGTAAGAGAGACAAACATATAGACAGACATGGGAAGAGATCCACTCCCCAGATGACCATAACAACCGAGGCTGGAACAGTCCCAAGCCATTAGCCTGGAATTCAATCTACCTCTGTCGTGAAAGGCAGGGAGGGACTCAAGTATCTGAGTCATCTACTGCCTCCCAGATGAGTATCAGCAAGAAGCAAAAAACAGAAACAGAGGAGGGAATCAAACACAGGTACTGGACATGGCATGTGGAAATCCCAAAAAAGGTGTTAACTGCTGCACCAAAAACATTCCTGGTAGACATATTGTTGCTTACTGTGATGAGGAAGACCAGAGAAAAAAACAGGCTTGGCAAGAAAGAGAATCATCGGTTCTGTAGCTGGACTTGCTATATTTTAGATGCCCCTTAGATATACTTTAAATAGGAAGCAGCTGAGTACATGACATTTCTTCAAAAAGTTCATGGAAAGTGGAAGCAAAACATACACTTATTTTGGTGCAAAACAACCCCTGAAATCCACATACAAGAGGGTACTTTGTTCATGAAAAACACATATTATGAAAAAAAATGCATAGATTTCAAACTTTTTACACCAAAATTAACTCATCTTTTAATTCTGTTTTCCAGGAACTTTCTGAGGGCCCTCCAGCTCCTGCCCTTCATCAGCCTGTAGGGTTTAGAAGTTGGGGAACATCCTCAGTGTATAGAAGATATTGAAAGGAATGAGACTGTATAAAATCACCCAGGGACAAAGTAGAGCAGAGAATCCAAAGAATTCAGGATTGCTTCCTGGGACTCGCACTTGCAAGTCTGATGGAGACAGGCACTCAGCAGCAGTGAGAATCAAGAGGAGAATCAAGACAGTGACTCAGAAGTCAAAGAAAAGCAAGTTTTCAAGAAGTCCTAACACTGAAAAAACGGTTACAACACTAGTCTTTCACAGAATCATTCACCCCAAATGTAACTCAATCCATGTATCTCAAAATATATTTCTACATTCTACAGTCTCATCCCCAACGACCCAGTCATGTGAATCATTCATTCTTTCATTCATTCATATCAAAGCTGTCATTTTCACCTAATCTATTTATTTATTTGTTTATATTTGAAATAGTTACAGAGACACACACAAAGAAAGATCTTCCACCTGCAGGTTCACTCCCCAAATGGCCACAGTGGCTGTGACTGCTCCATGCCAGAAACCAGGAGCCTGGAACCAGGTCTCCCATGTGGGTGGCCAGGACTCAAGCATGTAGGCCTTCCTCCACTGCTCTCCGAGGCACATCAGAGTGGAGGTAAAGCAGAGGCAGAACTGCCATGACTTGAACCAGCACTCAAATGGGATGCCAGCTTTGCAGATGCTTGCCCCAAATCTGCCATTAAATCCAAGAGATTCTACTGATCTTATATCTTTTATTTTCTGTGTATTTTTTTCTTCCCTATGGCTTCCTAGGAACCTGAAGATTAAGTCTAGAATCTCTTGCCAGGACTATTGAAATATTCTCTTATTCATTCCCCTCCCTTGGGCATATAGTCTGGAACACCCCTCTGGCACCCTGACGTTAGAGGACAATCTCCAAGTTACGTACCTGATTATGTTACTACCTCTGTATAAAATTCCCAGGAGTGGTCCCTAGGCTTTGGAATTTTATTAACCTGTACTTTGTCTTTCTTTTTAACTAATTTACTTATTTTTAGATTTATCTATTTTTGTTGGAAAGGCATAGACACAGAGAGAAGAGAAAGAGAGGAAGATCTTCCATCCACTGATTCACTCCCCAAGTGGCTGCAACAGCCAGAGCTGAACTGATCCAAACCCAGGAGCCAGGAGCCTCTTCCGGGTCTCCCATATGGGTGCAGCATACCAAGCTTTGGGTTGTCCTCAACTGCTTTCCCAGGCCACAAGCAGGGAGCTGAATGGGAAGTGGGGCAGCTGAGATTAGAACTGGTGCCCATATGGGATCCCAGTGCATGCAAGGCAAGGACTTTAGCTGCTAGGCTACCGTGCTGGGCCTGCCCTTTCTCTTTTAAAATGATTGTACTGTTGGCACTGATAAGGAATGTTTCTTATTTGGAATTGCAAATGCCAACTGCCTTCCTTCCAAACAGGTCTTTCTTGCGAACAGAACTATGTCTTCACTCATGCATACAGTCAACACAATTTATTGAGTACTTATTAGGGATCAAGAATCGTACTAGACACTGGGATAGTTAGTGAGATAAACATGGCTCTTATCCTCTGCAGTACTACTTATCTAGTTCAGGAAACTGGTAGCAGGCAAGCAGAGAAATCCCATAAAACCACTACCGTGACAACAACTGTAATCTATTTTAAACTTGTCCTGGCTAAAGGACCAGGGAAAGACTTTTCAGATGAAGTGTTGCTTGAGCTGGTGTAGAACAAAGAGCTAAAAAGTGAGAGAGAGAGAGAGAATATTCCAGGCATATTCATAGAAGCATAAGATGAAAGCCTGTGTCAGGAAAGAAGATAGCAAGAAAAAAGACCACAGGTACCAGAAGCAAGAAAGGAAGACTTTCTTGGTATAAACTGGTGAGATCACGAGGGGTCAATGGTCAGTTGAGTCTACAGAAATGCAATGAGAAGGTACTAGATAGGGGATAGCATTGGACTGATTGTAGAACATCAACTGCTGGCAGAGAGCCTAAGTGCAGGAATAGCGTGGACTAATGCAGTGTTGGGGAAACATGTTCAGACCCCGGAAATAACAAGGACATTCAACTGAACGCTTCAGTAACAAACTAGATAGACGAGGTAAAGATGAGATTTATCTAAGATGATCCCAAATTTCCTACCTTACCTAACTGGAAGTGAACGCCAGTCACACAGAGTCATACAGAGAAGGTGAGGTGTGAAGGGGTAGGATTATGAGTTTAGTTTTCAGACATATCAATACATAATGCCTTTGAAACCCAGAGAAGCGAAAGTCAGGTATACAGATTTATACAATCTGAATTTGCTATTCATAAATGCAGCTCTTTGTAGCCAAATGGGCCCAACTGGAAACCATTACGCTAAGGGAAATGAGCCAATCCCAAAAGGTTAGATAACACGTTTGCCTTAATTTAACATGAAATGATGTCAATCTGAAAAACAGTACCTGTAAACTGCAATATTATTTCAACCCCAAACCATGTATCTCACGCAATAAGATATTGTGATGTAACCAATGAACCAACAATCAATGTGATTCAGACTGCTTATGATCTACATCAAAAAACTGTAAAACCTAATATACTTTTAAAACACTACGCTACTTGGAAATGGGGCGGGAGAGCAGAGAAATCTTACATCTCTTTAGAATGTGTGAGGAAAATGTGAAGTGTAACCTATCAGGAACATAACAGGTAACTTATAGACAACAGATTCAAATC